GATGTATCTCTGCAACCAACAAAATAACAAGCAACCTGCCTAATGAACAAAGTTTTTCTTCAGCAAGGAAAAACTCTGGGTTTTGAAAAATGTTATCTTCAGCTATTGGGTTATCCCAAACCACTGTTATTGGTTTTGATTTCCATTTCCAAATCATAACGTGAGATTGGTGTGGCACTGCTGGAATCAAACCTGCTTGTTAAAGTTTATCCAGGTGAGAAAGTTCAGAGATGCTGAAGCCTGACACTAGGTAGAATTTGCTTCACATTTTATAAACCTGATGGGAAAAGCAATACACAGTAACCAAAATGCTCCTGACATGCTGAAATGTCTTTTCCTCTTCTTTGTATTTGTCATGATGTGATTTGAGTCAATAGAGGGAGAATCAAGGTGGTTGATGTTTCAGTGTATTGTGGTCTGTCTTATTGGACCTCTGCCATGTCAGCCTTTTTGTGGCCCTGCAAAAGAGGCAGGGAGGTACAGGCTGTTGATTATTATCAGCTCAAGGTTGTTTCCCACTTCAGTTTAGTTTTGTAGAGTGCCTCTAAGAGGCCCATCTACTTAATGCAAATTTTTAAAAAGACAACTTCTCTGTATAATCGGAAACTGCTGCTTTAGATTGGTTGAATTTTCTCTTAATTTTGGCTTTACCTTCACTTAATGGCATTGCTTCATCCTGTGAAAAGACAGAGATGCTCTATGAGCACCTCTGCCACTATTTGCTCTTATCACTTAAGCAGAGGAATTAACCAAGAAAATCAGTGATGGCAATGGTGGCACATAATCAAATCTCTTCAGGCAGTGGCTGCTAAATCGGTGACACATCTGACATTTAGTGGAGGAAAAAGCCTGAGGAGTGAGTGAGCAATCTGAGCTGCTGCCCGGGGAACTTTCCAACAGTTTGACTCATCTGTCTTTTCCATCAGGCATTTGTGTGACTCCCTGTGCCTAAATATCTCTGAGAAGTGCAAAGGAATAGAGATTCTAACAGGATGCAAGAAGATGCTCAGCCAAGAAGGGATCTAATTAAAACCTCGCTCTGAATATGTCAGCGGTTTCTTGAGTTGCTGTCAGTCCTTTTTTTGTTGGGGATGCCAAATGAGATTTGGCAGTGAAGGTAATACAATGTACAATTCTATGATACAGATTTCTTAGACTCTCACTGGGGTAAACTGATAGAGAAAATTAAAATATATGTATTTCCCACAAATAGTAATACAGTAGTATTACTATTTACAAGTAGTAAATACAGATGAAAAATAGTGTTACTCTGAGTAACACAGCCCTGTAATTTTACAGTAATGCCTTGACATCAGTCTTTGCTAAACATCTGTTTCTTTGAAGAGGGGAAGGGTTAAAGTTTGGAATCCTACAACCTAAGAACACCATAAAGATGCTTTTATGCTAGGTAAGCTGCACCTTTGCAGAATTTATTCCATAAGATCCCATCTCATTGCATGGTAAATAATTTGGTGGGTTGGATAGCTGGCAGCCTATTCTGTCCTTGTGTGAGAGAATAATTACATATAATGTACAGTATTAGGTACTTTTTCTGTATTATGGGTATTAAATAATTTTTCTGAAGCCTTAATAAAATCACTCTATGCAGATTATTAGACAATTTGTATACAGGGAGGGGGAGAAAGAAAAACCTGAGAAAGAGGGGTAGGAAGACTTTGCCACATTTTAGTGCCACTCCAAACTGAGCCCTGGGCACTCAGGGCAGTGTTTCAGAGCAGGTTCTTGGAGCTGGGCACTGCCTGAAGCTGCTCTCAGCTCAAGCCCCAGGGTGAGCTCCCAGTTTGCTTTTTACATTGAAGAGCCAGAGCGTTTGGCATGCTCACGCCTACATCTGGAAAAACTTCCATTGAAATGGTTTCCAAAGAGCTCTGCTGGAAACTACCCCAGCAGCTGCTGGTACAAAGCAGAATAGGCTGTTCCAGCAGCCACAAAAGCAGCCCATGCTGAGAGACCAGCCTCGCTTTTTGAGTCCTGAATTGGGCAACTTTTGGGGCGTGCACTCGGTTTTGCAAGTTCTGTCTCTTTGTTAGATGCTGCTGCTCAGCATCAGATGAATTACTGCACAATTCTCATTGAAAAATCTCTCTCTAAAAATTGGTCAGAGTTGGACCAGTAACAGCACGTTGTTGTGTAGGATAGTAGAAAGCTCCTGCAGAAGGAAAAGAGCAGCTGCTGAGCTATGTAATGGGGAAAAAAATAAAATTATTACACGGTTTTGTGTACACATAAAAAATGAAGTAAGCCATAACATCTCTTAGACTGCTCTGGATGCTTCTATTTTGAAGATAAAGGCTGCACTTCCATAAAATCCATCAAGCTATTTAATATTTGTAACAAGTGATTGCTACTTTGCACACTGTATTTAACAAAGAGGGAAGGACTAGCAGGATAATTGCTTTGTTTTAAAGGAAGAACATTACCAAAATATAAAGCATTATGTTAATTCTTTAAAGGGAAATGTAACACCACCCAGTTTTTCTTTAGTAACTGTCTGTCTTGCACTGTGGTTCAACTAAAATGAAATAGCATGACAGTAAGTCACTTGTGTTATAAAATCTGCATTGGAGATCTGCTGTTTATTCTTATTCTTTGTGACCCCAAGTGTGGCTTTGCTTACTTGTAGCTGAAAATAGATTCATCTCATCTGAAGCATGGGAGTTCACTTTAAGTGTACATTAATGCTGGAGGGGAAAAAAAGGCAGTAAAACTGTGCTAGCATTCCTGAGTGGATCTAGCTGTCTGTCAGAAGAAAGCCATAAGGCTCTGTAGTGAATACATTAGTTTTTTCTTTTTCTGGAAATTTACGAAGGATGTGCTTATTATTGCAATCAATCCTCTGAGTCGCTAAATTTAAGCACAATGTTACATGTAAAGCAGTTGCTGGCAGTCCAATCCATGTATTGATGACTTACTGATCCCTCCTATCCTGACACAAATACCTTTCTGCTTGGGAAAAAAGGCAAAGATATTTCTTTGTTTTAATAGGGTGTGACTAGTAAAGAATGGCTCGTACTTGGGCGCTGGTCACATGTCATTAAAATAAATAAGTGGGACATTAACTTCATACAGGAGATGGTCAAACACATCAACAGGGAACCCAGCAACTCCCTTTTAGGTCTTGAGTAAGATTGCAAAGATTATTTTTGGGAAGCAAGCAGAGACATTCCCTCTCCGTTTATCTTGAAACAGAGCAAGTATTTTGTGATATCACAAATAAAGCCCTTTCTGCTGGCAAGAGGGCAGGAGAGAAATCCCCCATTATTGGTGCTGTGAGCCACCAGGAGAGCCATAGAACAGGCTGAGTTGGAAGGGAAATTCCCAGGAGTGTAAGAGACCCTGACACATGGGCCCTGTCACCAGAGCAGGGTGCCCTCAGTGATGTGCCAACAACTCTCCTGCATCAAGGACACCAGAAGGGGACAAATGCAGCTCCTTCAGCTTCTGCAGGTCAATCACAAGGGTCAGTATGAGCTCAGAGTGACCCAGGGAATGGCTGAATTCCTGTTCAAGCAATAGAGCTGGCTGGGAGTCCTGGATCCCAGTGGATGGACACCTTCCCTACTGCTCCAGTCCTGGGCACTGAGACTCTGCTGGTGGCAGAGCCCCAAGTCACAGCAGTGTCCCTCTGGGTGAGGAGCAGCTGCCTCCCATCATGGCAGAGCCTTCCCAAGTGCTGATGGAATAGGAAATAAGCTGCACACAGGTTAATATCAGGTGGCAGAGCTGAAAAGCATAACTTTTTCCATGAGTTATGGCCTGCAGATGCCAGCATTGGATCCTCCAGCAGAGTCAGCAGCAGCTACAAATATGGGATTTATCCTCACTGCCTGCTTTTGCACTTCCCTGGTTCTGTGGCTGACTCGGATGAGCCAAGTTCCTGTTACTGAGATGAAGGACCCTGGCTCATTACAGAGGCAGCCAGAGCAAGATGTGCCAGGGTATAAAATGCCTATCTGAAAAGCATCTTTCGAGCACTGCCAGCTCTCCAGCTAATGGTTGTACCTGCTTGGGTTTCATGTGTGCTCTATTTGTGTGCCCCTGCAGCCACTCCCTCGCTCCCCTCCCCGGCGCCCCTCTGTCCTGGGTACTGCTGGGCTGAGATCCCTGCATGGAGCCTGCCTAATTCCCTTCTTTCAGCAGCACAGTTGCTTTTTGTGAGAGAAACAGTGAGCAAAACATTTAAGTGGTGGTCAGAGAGGAGAGGGAAAAATGCCAGCTCTTACTTCAGCTCTTTAGTTTCAATTTTTGTTGTGAAAGAAACTGAAAATAAATTCTACTTATTACAGAATCCAGGTCTTCCCTGCCTCTTAAATGATCTAAGTTAAGGCAGGATATGAGTATCTAAAAGAGAGGTGCAGGACAACATCAGGTGTTGGCACCTCAATTTCTTCGTTTTAATACAGGAACTATTAAGAAAACCTCACAAAACCAAGAAAACAACTGAACAAACAAACAAAAAACCCCAACAAAAAACCCTTAAAGTTTACTTCCTGTGATTTAACTTGGATAGGTAATAGTTTCCAGTGTTTCTGCCAACTTGCTTTTGAAAAATGCCTCATCCAAAACTGGCTGAGCAGAGTGAAGAGCTTGCCATTGTCTTCTGAGTTCCAGTTTGGGACTGTCATTATTATCCTTAAACATAATTCAAATATATTCACCAGAGTTTTTGTATTTAAATTTTCTGTGCTAATATTGTCAAAATACAGAATGGGAGAGAATGCAACTAAAGTCTCTGTTAGGAACGAGAGAAGCAAACTGGGACTGACAAAGCAAATGTCTAAATGTGAAACTTTCCTGCTGTGGAAGGGCTCTCTCAAATTCAGTGTGAGCAAAAAGAACAAATTATTGCCAAAGTTTGGCCTGGTTTTTCTTGCTGTTCATGGTAAGCTGAGTAGAAAGAGAGTCCTATGGAAAAAATATAACCAAAAAAATGGATAGAGATAGCTGGTTCAATAATTGAATTATATAAAAAGCATCCATTAGGAATTAATTAAATATCAGGTAGCAATCTTTAATGCTAAAAGTTGTTTTTTTTCCCTCAGGTACATTTTTTAACAAACCTATAGTAAAAAAAAAAGAATTTTATTTCAATAATCTGTTTTCTAATTTTACTTTGTGTTGTTTTAATTTTATTTTAATTGAATTGAATTGTACATTTATACCTGAATTGTTGTTTACAAGCAGCTTTGCTAGGAATCAGAGTGAAATATAGTGTAGCTCTTCACAGCAGTGAAAAATAAATAATTTGCTGTACTTCAGTATAAATGGTATGAATTACTTATTGCAAAGGAAAAAAAAGTCCAGAGTTTTAGCTTTTCATAACAGATCTATAATTAAATACGATGAGCAGGTTTAAATTACACTTAAGAACTTCTGAATATTTAACAATTTCATTAGATCAAGTTGATAATGCTGAATTCTTTGTTTCTACTAGAACATTTTTGTCATGCTGCTTTAAAATGACCTCAGGATGACAAACACTGAGTTACTGATTTCCTTCTGTTAAGTGAAAAAAAGACATTTCCCATATAAATTCTTTGGGATTTTTCTCAGCAATTTCCCATTAAAGAACATGTCTGAGGGTTTTTCCTTTCTGCTGTGTGCTGGCCCTGTGCCCTCAAAATTGTGGCTATGTTCTGTTTTTTCTGGAATGTCAAATGCTTTATTTACCTTTCAGCACCTTTCAGATCAGCTTTTCCTTCCAGGAGAGTTTAAGGGCAGCAGATAAGTAACAACTGATCTTTGAAAGTTTGTAAATTCTGTGCTTCATTTGCTGAAACACAAACAAAATTAAATTGTTTGTGGATTTACCTCTGATATCCTGTTCTTCTAATGGAAAATGAAGGTGAGAAACATTTAACTTTGTCCTGTTCAAAAGCAAGTCATGGGATGGTTGCTGCTTTCTGTGTTCATGTTACTGGGGAGCATTAAATTCTGTTCTTGACTCATAAGTCACCCAAGATCCAGAGTCCTGTTTAGAGCATTAGCTCACCTTGCAAAGCCTTGGCATTTGGGCCAGCCTGTAACTGGTACCTCGGGGGCAGCTGTTTTCACCTTTCCTGTGATCACTGCTCGCCACCTGGTGAAGTAAAGGAGCTCCTTCCCTCATTTTAGGGAGGTGCTGTGCAGGTGGAAGGAACTCCTGCAGCTCCTGGGAGCTCTCTGAGTGTGCCAGTTCAGATCTGTAGGAAGGGGTCAGTTCCAGCACTCTGTGACATTTGGACATATAAATACATACATCACAAGTGCCTTTCTCGTTTGTTCTACTCGGGCACAAGCTATTTTAGGCTGACATTTTCCAGCCAGGCCTGAGGGAGTTAGATGTCTGAATTAAATCCAGTTTGACTGATTTGGACATTGAACATCTCTGAACTGAAATCCTGCTGATAGGCAGTGGGGCTGTGCTAAAACAACATTATTAGCTCTTCAGTTATATAGAAATGTACATCTTGATCTCTTTTTTTTTCCAACAAAATGGCCAAATAATTGAATCATGAGTGCAAATACAGGAATTGAACCTTGGAATAATATTTTTTTAATTGAGCATGCAAGATGTACATGCACTGAAAGTGAAGCTGCTGTAGAATTAAAACCCCTCAGCTGTTTTAATGTGGAGATGATACAAGCACTTCCCATGAAAACACTATGCTCTTGTTGATTTAAATGTGTGTATTTTATTGAGTAACAAGTAATTCATTGCAGCTGCTTCTCTCATGAAAAGGAATCTTTTTAAATCATGATATCAAAAACTGTAATACCCTAATTTATACAACAGCTTTTAAGGAAAGTACTAATGTGTTTAGCATAGCATAAGGGATGATATAAATTGGGAGAGTTTGCAGCAAATAGAACTGAATTCAAAAGGAGTGTGCCCATGGGCCAAAATCTCCTGTGGAAATTCAGCCTTGTGCTAACCTGGGACAAGGATAACCTGGGGAAGAACAGCAGAGTCAAAGAACTCTCTGCCTTGTGCAGACTCTGTGTGCAAATGCTCTTTAAAGAACACAGTCTGGAAGTGGCTCAAGCACTGAAAAGCAAAGAGGCAAACAATTCCTAACAAGGCTGCCTGTGTGCAGCTCTGCTGCTGGTATCACCCTCAGAAGGTTTACACTGAAGTGCTCTGCCTCACAGGCTCTACTTCAGATTAATATCATTTATGGGAAGAGCTGTAAACAAAAGGGAAATGTCTTGAATGTTTTTCAGTGCTGGGGGGAATAGTTATTATAGAACTCTGACACCAGCTGCCACCCTGGTAAGGCCAGTCTGCCTCAGGTTATCATTTTGCCACCCAGCACAGTAGAAAATAACAAGAATGCAATCCATAGACTTTCTCTCTCCAAATTGCTTGTGCAGAGTTGAAATGAAAAAACAAAACAAAAAAACAAAACAAAAAACCACCAAAATTTGTCTGTCATAGCTGTTTCTGCAGTCATCTAAACCATTACCCAGTACAGCCTATAAAGATTGGAACTGGGAGAAAATGTCCTTATTCTAAAGGCTTTGGGGAGATGATTGATCGTGGTCTGGGTGTCTTTGGAGTGTTAGGAAGTCTAATAAAAAGTCATAAAATGAGAACCTTGATCTGTGACCTCAGAAGGGACATCTGTGCCCTTCCTTGAAATGAACTGCAATTGAGGATGGATGAAGTTGCCAACATCTTCTACCTTAATGTGCTCTATCAGTTTGCCTTCAGTACAATTCAATTGAAATTTCTAAAGCCCTAAATGTCCTGAGGGCTGGTTTACCTGTGTGATCCCCTCTTATCAACAATGTTACAAAAGTTAGGACATTTCTTTAATGTCATCTACAACTGACTGTCTTTTAGAAGTGATGATAAAAATCTTTGCAAAACTTCTCATCTCTGGGAATGATTTTCCAAAATTTTTTTTTTTTTTTTTTATGCTCTTCCTTCAATCAGCCCAGGAACAGAAGGATAATCTGTTTGTAAGAACTCTTCTGGCTGCAGAAGAGCAGTGGCTTTTCTTACCCTTTTAAGGAAGTTCTCCCCGTTGTCTCCAAGATGTGTAAAGAGCTCCAGGAAATTAAAGCACTTGAGTTTTTTAATTGGACAATTTACATGTACAGTTGCAGTTTGCTGGGAAAAGAGCTGTTTAGTAATCTGTAGCTGGAATTTATATGGTATTGCAGTCAGCAGTGTTGTTCACCTTATCAGCTGCACTGGTGAGTTTGGCTTTGTGTTGTTTGCCATTGTCAAGTGTTCATCAGTGTCATCCCACTGGAGATTCAATGCAGCTGTACAGACCCAGTTTGAATCCAGAGCTGCAAACAAGGAGCACAAGGGAAATCAAATGGTTTATTGGCTTAAATACTGATACTATTCATGTAAACTTAGATATGAGAGTAGGTTTGCTTTTCTGATTAGTACATATTTCTATTTCTGTAATTTCACTAGAGTTTATATCTAAGCCTTTTGAAGATAACTTATCTCTTCATTGAGTGATGGGAAAGAAGAAAAGTCCAAGGGATCTGAGAACAGTGGGGAACATTGCTAAGTGTCAGGAATGAAATGAGAAGTTCTCTTATGTCTATCACATGGGTTAGAAAAGCCAAATACTGGAAAGGGATTTTATTTCCCTTCCATTTGTTTTCCTTTTATAAACTTGCTATCCACAAGTCTTTCATGGCCTTCTTGTCTCTGGTCAATTGAAACAGCCTTTTAAAATATTCATGAAACCACTTTTCTAGCAGTGTTTTTATACACCAGTGAAATACCGAGCACTCAAATCATTGAGTGGAAATGTCATTTTCTCCCCACACATTGCATTTAACTGATCTGCCTGTCCTGGCTGCTTGGTGCAGGTAGGGAGGTTAAAGAACATGGGTCTACCTTCGTCTTTGAGTGACCCTCTTTCTACAGCAAATATATTAGAAATATTTTTAAATCATTTACTCAGCTCTGCAAGAGCTCTGTTCTACCTTGGATCTTCCTTGATACCCATTTCTAGAAACAAGCTTCGTTTCTTCCTTGCTCTAACATTCACTGGAGTTTGCTGTCATTGAATTTCCCAAGATGAGAATCTGTACAACCCCTTGGACATTTCATATTATTGCACTTAGAGCTATAATGTGGAATCTAATATTATGAACAAATTGCAGGGTTCACATTGAGCTGAATTTCAGCTTTACTAAGTAGTATCTGATTTTGCAAAAAAGATCCTCTCCTATTCTAGCTTTATGTAAATAAAGACATAGAGAAATACCATGAGCTTTTGAGATGTATTGCAATGTTCTTGCAATATTTTCATATTGCTGAGTTCTGTGCCACAGGTAGAACTTGAGGAGGAAAGATAAAATTGAAAAATCCCAATAAATCAAACAGGACAACATGTTGTAGCTAATTTAGTAGAGCACCCTACGACAAACACTCACTGTGTCTGAATATCAAGGCATAACTTCTGAACCTACCGAACAAGCAAAGTCCCCTTTGCATGGTTCATCTTCTGTGGGTTTTGGACTCTTTTCCTATCAGGGATTGAACAAACTCAAAGACTTTGTGACAGCAGAGGTCAGAACACTGCAAGTCTTCTAAGCCCTTATCTTGTGATGCTTTTATCTACTTAACTTTGCTGTTACCTTTCCCTGCTGTTGTTGTGCAACTTTGTCTTTCAGCCAGGAAAAGTATCTTTAGTAGTTGTTTCATGTGGTTTCAGTACAGTCCTTCCCTTAAGAAACCAAAGCAAAAGGACAGTTTTTCAAACATAAAAGATTTGCTATTCACCCTGAATTGCTCTGGAAGTCAGACATGTGTGGTGAAGAGGTCAGGGAGGAAACACCTGCAAATGGAAGCAGGAAAAAGTTACTTGCTTCACTGCCATAGTTTTCTCTGCATCAGGAATGGCCAAAGTCACTGAGAGCTGAGCCCTCTCATCAGCAGAATAGAACATACCTTGTCATCAACCTCTACAAAGTTGACATATGCTGTTAAAGGCTGGCATACTCTACCACATAAATCTGCCAGGGAAGTGGGCTTCTCCATTTCCTAATATCAGTTTTCTCTCTCTCCACTTATTTAGGAGTATATCAAGAGTATTTAGACTGATTTTTTTAAAACATAGAGGCCAAATCATGGTGCACTTATCCCCACATGGTTTTCCAAATCCAGATTGATCCATTTGTCAGGAGTCACATTACAGATTAGCCACCTCTAAGAACTGGATAGACACAGAAAATGCCCATTTTTTTCAAAAATACAAACCACACAAAAGAGCTCTGGTATAAATTTCTCCTTTGGTTTTAGATGTTTGGTTTCAAACATCTAAATAAAATTGATTTCCTGATAGCAGCGTATCTATCCATAGTCCTACCCAGCATGGGACCAGAGTACAGCACTGGAATGCTCACAGGGATTTATTTCTCAGCAGGCAAATTTTGTGTTTTTATGTGGCTGGTTGGCTGGCTTCTATTTTATGAAAGAAACATTAATTTACAGATTGTCCTGAAGTTGTAGCTGTATTGGTGGAGCTATCTGTAATTTGTAGCAATGTGAGTCTCTGGCTTAGTCTTATGAAGGTGCCATCACTCATAGAGGAGAGCTGTTTTAAGTATATAATGTGTATTTGAGAAGCTTGAGTTCATTGACCATGATTTCAGTGCTAAAAGCACAAAAAGGGTTTAACAGACCCAATTATTTCACTGGCCCAAAATTACAGGGCATTAATCTCTGGAAGAGTTTACAAGGCACATGGCTCTTTTGCCTATGCCTTTAGTGAAAAATGAAAAAATAGTTTCAGTGAAATAGTTTCAGCAGAAATGACTCTGAGTGTTCATTTTTACTTTTGAACAAGGCTGAATTATCTCCTTTGGTCAGACAGAAGATGTTACCCTGCTACAGATGTATGGCCTGGAACAGCTCCCTGGGAGCAGAGCTGCTGCCAGACACAAAGGTATTTTGTTCCAAGCACTCCTTACACCGAGGAAAGAGGGAGTTGGTAACAAATGTTGTGCCATGACTTTATAATGTGGAAAGATCTTTATCAGTGTTGTGGTACAAATGTGACAAAGGCAGGAAGGAGGTGTGGACTTGGAAAAAAATACCCACAGGCAGCAGTTGGTGCTGCAAGACCTTGACCACTACCCAAGGGCTCCCCAGCCGAGCGTACCTGGACTGTGTTTGCCTGACTCGGAGCTCTCAGTACAAAGTGCTCCTGAATTCCCATGAAAGACTTCTGAGAGGAAACACAGAGCATTAACAAGAAAAGAAAGATCTTTGGCTTTTCTGGTTTGCTCTTCAAAACTATAAATTTTGTTTTTGACAGGAAACAGCCTCTTGAGTGTCTCCCCAACACGTGGAACATCCTGGTGTATATTTAAGCTATTCCTAGAGTGTTCAGTAAAAAGAAAGGTCAGATCCCAACTGTAGCCAGATGGATGGTTGACATGAAAAGGAGAAACCCAGCAAGGTCTCTAAAAGCAAATCTCCCACTGGTCTCAGGAACAGAAGATTTCTATATCTGACTTCCCTCAAACAAGTTCCACAATATGCTTGCATAAATCAAAGAGTTGTGTATACACCATGCTGCCCCCCTTCACTATTTATATTCCCTTGGAATGAAAAATAGCTTACCACCTGCCTCACTTCTATCATAATGTAACAGGTCACAGAGTTAACACCCTTCTGAAATGAATGGCAGAATAAAATTACAAAACCGGTCACCTTACACAACCAAGACATTTGGCACCGCACTTGAAACTTTTCCATAAGAAATACAAACATCTCTTAAATAGATAAAAATGTTATTTCATGTGTGTATATTGTCACTAAAATACTTTCATTTCAAGCCTATATGTGCTAAAATTATGAAATTGTGTGGGTGAGAGTATAGGGATTTAATATTTTATCAAAGTTTTAAAGTAAATTTATGGGAACAGTGGAGCTTTGCTGATGATATGGAGTCTCTCTACATGATATGAATTTGTTTCAACACCAGATCATGAGACTTCTCAGAAGAATAAATGGCTAAGAGAAAAAAGAAAATAACATTAGGCAGCAATACATACAGATAAAAGAATTGGAGTAGGTTTGGTATCTGGAAGAAGGAACAACTTCAGAATAATTAATGCTTACTGTTAAAACTACTGATTTCAGTTGAATTAATAACAACTTTTGGTCAAATTAGACCTAATGAATCATTAGAAATACTCAGGAATCTTTTGACAGTTACTGTGTGAACTCAGCAGATCTGTCAGCTGGACTGAAGGGAAATGCAGTGAAGATGAAAAGGAAGGAAACCTGGGGCAGGCAGAAGGATGGAGAAATCACCACCACAGAGCTTTGATGGCAGCTGAGGGCGGTAGTAAAAAATATTATTGAGGACACATAAAAATAGACCAAAGAACATTTCATGCTAATTGTTGCTTGAAATTAATAAGTGTCCATGTGCTGTCTAAATTTGCTATTTAAGTTTTACTGCTTTATTGGTTTGAATGAAGCAAAACTGGAGATATTTTAAGTCACTTTAACCAAATCAGTCAAGTTTAAAGAGTTTCATAAAGTGAATTACAAACAATAAACAAAATTTTATTCATTAATGCATTTGTGACATACAGCAACATGGCAAAGTTAGAAAATAATATTTGGTTAATTGAAATAAATTTGAAAGCCGTGATTATCTTGTCAGCAAGAGGTAACACAAAATACCTCCGCATCAGCCTCATGCTCCTTTCAGAGTCTTTAAAGGACTAACAACTGGAATGCCATGAAGGGCTGGCTGGTTTGGTACCTTTGCAGTGATCCCACATTGAGATTTCCCAATGGAGCAGAGGCAGAAATGTTGATTCTGCCTATTGTTATATTTGCTTAACACATTAACAGAGGAATTTGGTTTCTGGGGCAGTCAGTGAGGCATTGTTCTTTTTCCAATTGAGATTAATTAGATTAGTGGGAATTTAGAATGAGCAGAAACTGCATGATCAGGGACAAAATCCACTGCTTGCGTATTCTGTATTAGGGTTGTTCCATTCAAAATGCAGCCTGTCCAAATGACCAGTGCTTTCCATTACTTCTTACAGAGTCTATTACACAACATAATCAATGTGATTACCAGGAAATTTCCCTCAAAAATTAGTTCAGCCCAAATTAGCAATAAACTGTTTTAAAAGCTTCCATTTTGAGCGATGCTGATTTGAACCATTCCAGGCAGTGCAAATAACTTCCTTTGAAATTAGGTTTTTCATTAGCATTACTGTGCCATTGAAAAATGAGTCAGTTTGAATTTAACAAATACAATAATGAATAAACTGAAAATAAAAAGACTTGAGCCAAAGGTGGATGCTGTCTAAACGTTAAATACTGGCATGCTGGCACTTGGTGTGCAGGAGCTCCATCTGCCTTCCCACTTTTGTACTGCTGCAGAAGCCAGAGTTAAAACATTTAAGGAATCAAAGTTAGCAGTACTACGATGAGTCACTGTAACTTTATTCCACTCCAATAAGAGAGCTTTGTCCCTAAACCAAAATTACTAACTGGAAGTTACAAAAGACCTCCTAAGAAGAACAAGGACTTTCTGAAGAATGGATTCTTTCTCCATTAGTAAAGACCGAACATTTTACAGAGCTTATTTCTTTCTGATATAAGAGACAAATCAACAAATGATGCATGATGCAAAATAAACCTCCTGTGGAAAGAATAGATCCAAAATTCTTGACATTTATACCAACAGAATCTTGTGCCATTATGTATATGAAAGCTGGATTGACTGAAAACATCTTATGTAAGAGAGTGTAGAGTGAAAACAAGGGTAAGAAGAATTAAGATTTGAAATTCTGCAAGAAAGGATGCAAACTGGAAATGTTCTGTTTGCTTCTTCAAGTCTTTGCAGAACCTGGTGATGACATGAGGACCTCAGATCTTGTTTGAAGAGAAATGGAAGTTATTAGTCCTCAGATGAGGGAGAAAACCACCCCTTAGCATCTGTAAGAGCAGAAAAATGAAATTGCATATTCAACTGCATAAGTGCTTTCAAAATTCTAGCCAATGCTCATTTTAAGAGCTTTCAAAATTCCAGGCAATGTCCATTTTCTGGGGATAAGCAGAAGACAGTAGGACAGCACAAATCATTCAGACCCTGTGCTGGAACCCTGCCATGTAAAGGAGAGCTGTGCCATTTTCCTAGACCACTCCAAATGCCCCAAGCATGTGTTAAGCAGATTCTTCTCCAGTCTGAGCATGGAGAAGATGTTCACTGGCTGTGAGACCTGGCAGATACACCAGGCAGTCCACTGCTTCACACACTTGTGCTAACATTTGTACACACCAGAACCTAAACCCCATCTGTTGATCACTGGATTGATCTGTACCTAGAAGATTCCTCCAGCCCACTGGACCTCTCTGCACCTAGCATAGCTGCATGAGCTCAGTGTTTACTGATGGATTTTTGCCTCACCATAATTCTCAGAACACAGTGATGTCCAAAGAAAGCCTGTTTTGTACTGCTACTTGACACACTGAAGAGCAGAGAATAAAAATACTTGGTAATTACCCGACCTTAAAGGAGAAACACTCTCTTGCTGTCATTCATCAATCACACTGAATTTTTCTGCTGCTAAAAACTGACCTTTAATTGCGAAGTGGGTATTTTTATCATATTCCAAATTTACAAAGTCTAATTTAATGCACATGATTCAATATAAGTGGTATCCATAGCACTGGGTGGAAAAGACTCATGCAGGATTATTAGGGAGGCAGAACCTCACAGTGTTCAGGACTCAAATTCAGAAGTTCACTGAGATACTTTGGATCTTGTAGGTCTGTGATGTTGAGAGCTAGGAAACTTGTCATAAAAACCTCAATAATTTCTTCATGTTTCATTTGGCAAAACAAAAGAAAAAGTTTGCATAAAGTTTTACTGTGCAAAGGTATTTCCACCTGCATCTCCCCTAAGTTGTCGGTCTCAATTAGTCACCTTGTGTAATAAATCTGATATAGAATTGTCTCTTCTTGTTCACACTATCTTCATTTGACTTGTGTGATTTCGGCACACACAAGAGATCACCAGTGAAGCTGTGCCCATTTGCTTCAGCTACTGGATTTGTTCCAGTAAACCAGTGAATGATGGTGGATTTTCAAATCACTGACAACTGCAAACTACTTGAATAGATCTACTTTAAACTGGCATTTCAAGGCAAGTTTTATTAGTTTCTTTAGGTAGGCAGAGATAAGATCAGCCATCCTTCTTAGCAAGATGGAAAAGTCAAGCCCTCTGTGCTCTCAGAAGCACAAAAATAAGAATTAAATTAGGGTAAAAAAACCAGCAAAATTTACTTGGCAGAGAGATCACATTAGTCTGACATGTTAGATGAGAATGACTTGGCAACCATGAGGCAAACGCTCTCCTTACCAGAAGATCATCACCATGGCATTGGTTGAGGGGGAAAAAACAGAATGAACGAGTGTCATGAGAACCCTGAGTGAGCTTTCAGAGGGCAAGACACAAGAAAAAGTGATGTGTGTTGGTGTGAGCAGAAATGGACAAAATCTGCTCTCAAAAATATCAGAGTACAGTAATCTTATCTCCTACCTGTTACTCTCAAAAAATCTCCAACCAAAAAAACCCCAAACCATTACAACATATGTGTAAATAAACACATTAAATATCCTGGCTCTGTTAAGAGCAGGTCTCCCAGGAAAAAAAGCTTCATCTTTCTTTTTCTATTTCAGTAAAAAAAGACAGAAACACAGTTTTCGTACTGATCAATGACTCAATATCCTGGAGAATTCTCTCTGAGGAATGTGTTGCTAAAAGCCCTCAAATTCAGCTTCTACTTCGGTCTGAAACAAGCATAACTTTTAATTTCTCAGACATTATAGTGCAAGATGAAAATGACATTAAGAAGTGTGATGTATTTGCTGTTTTTAAAACCACGGTGGTCTACAAGCAGGCCACTTTGTAAAATCAGCTGAAAAAAACATACAAGTGCTATCAACCACAATAAGAAATCATGTGTATGGAGTGATATGATAAATATGGAGGATGGTGAATTTTGAAGGGTAAATTATTTCAGCAAAACACAATTTATTTTTTTCTTAAAAAAAAAACCTTCAAAAAGACTGCAATTGCAAAGTAAGATGGAGCAAGTGTAGTTGTCACAATCAATTATTGCCTTTCAAGTGCAGGAAAATGACAAATGAGCCATTAAGGGCTGCTGTTCTTTATTTAGAACTGAAAAAGAGAGAAATGAGTCTGCAAGGGAAAAGATCTTAAGCTTTTCTGCATGTTGATTTATTTCAAGTGAAAGTTATGTGAATATATGGAAGAAATGTCTTCTGCAAGGTGTTAATCTTGGTAACCCTGCAGACCTGATGTGTAAATCTTGTTAGGACCAGTTTATATTAATTAATCTTTGGAAACTAGAAAGAGGATTTCTGTAGCTGAGATTCTTTTTTTATCCAGCTGTAGAGGTGATCTTCAGCAAAAAGCAACTTTTTAATACCCGGTGATGTTAAATACCCTGAGGATGAGGGAATTTGCTGTCAGCAAAGAACTGACAAGACACAAACAAGCCTTTATGTGTCATCCTAGTTTGTGTGAATACACATACAATCAAAACATTTCCACAGGGCAACAACTATCATGGATAAAAATGGTCGTGATGGGCAGGTTGTGGGCGCAGGCAGGATCCCCTGAGCGTCTCCATTCTGCTGTTAACACAGAAATAACAGGCAGCGGCAACTGCACCGAAGGTAGAGGGTGGTCCCTGACCACAGCTTTTATAAGCAAATTATGTTCTCCTTTATCAGTGATTAAGCAGGGGCGACTTGTTAGCACCGGGGGCTGCGTGAACGCGCGGGGAGGCAAGTGGAGCCCACATATCCACTCATGGAGGAAACCGAGAATGACCGGGAACACCCGAACACCGGCGATGACCGGGACACGGGGAACACCTGAACACCAGCAAAGACCGGAACACCGGGAACACCTGAACACCAGCAAAGACCGGAACACCGGGAACACCTGAACACCAGCAAAGACCGGAACACCGGGAACACACAAACACTGGGAACGCCCGCGGCCCCTCAGCCCACAGCGAGGGGCGGGCGTGGTGCTGAGGGGCGGCGCGCTCCAATTGGCTGGCGGAGGGAGGCGGGAGACATAGAGCCTTGTGNGGGCAGTCGGGTCCTGACGGTGGGAGGTTGTTTGCGGTACTCTGTCCCTGCTGTTTGCTCGCCGGACCACGCGGGCACGGCGCCCTCTCAGTGAGGGGGTACGCGCTATGGCTGGACCCGATCTCCCTGTCTCTCTCATCCCCCCCTTGTCTCCCCGTTTTTCTTTCTCTTCCCTGTGTCCCCCTTGCTCGGTGCCACTCTCTCCCCCTTCTTTCCCTCCTTCCCATCTCTTTTCCCCCTCCCCCCATTCACTCCCTCTCCTCTGTGCCCCCGTCCCCTTCCTCCTCGCCCTTCCCTGAAGGACCCGGCCCCTCACAGGTCACTGGGTGCTATCAGCCCTCCTCCTTCTGTTTTACTCCTCTTAAAGACCATGGTTGTGGCTGTTCCTTTTTGGTAAGGCTGCGCCTCTTCCTTGGTGAAAGATAATTGAGGGAGGAAAAGTTTAGCTGGTGGTGGAAGGGAGTAGGAGGAGGTTCCTCTGAAGTAAGAGCCAGATTGTGACTGGACTTTGCATCTGTGGCGTTTCATGTCTGTGTGTCCGTGTGTGCCATGGATAAATGTGCGGTTGTTGTATGGAGTCACAACTGTGAAGAGAAGCCTCCAAGTGCGGGACACCTGAAAACCGTCTCTGGACAAATCGAAAGGCTACTGGATATTTATGCTTATGTTTTGTCATTTCTCAGGTTCTGATTAAAAAAAAAAAAAAAATCAGAGAAAGATGAGCTTTCCTTTACCTTATGTTGTAGAGGTTAATAATAAATACTCAGACTATGCCCGTTAAAAATTTTAATGCTTTTCCAGGAGTTATTTTAATACTGATCACAGAAGTAGAGTTGGGAATTATAATGGCTTCATTTCCTTGATCTTCTGGACTAATAGAGTTTTAATGTTATGAGTGCCAAGAACCAGTGTGTGTGCCCTGTTCCCTAAAACAGCTAATGACGGCAATGGTTAAGAACCTCTTAAAAACCCCACAAAAGTGTATTGCTCCAGAAGGACGCAGATCACTGCTAGGAACTGTTATCTGCAAACCAAGGGAATTACTCAAACTAATGAAATAGTTTGATTTATATGTATGTTTGGGTTGTCAGTCTTCAGCTGGAGTTTTGTTTACTGGGCCTATCATCAGATGGGATTTGTAAGTCAGGGCCTTCACTTCCAATCAATATCTGTTACGATTAGAAACCCCTCCTTTAGAGAAGGATTGAACTAAAATAGAAAATGTTATTGGTGGGAAGCAGTTCTAAGTTCTTGCCTTTTGTTAATGGGAATTAATTTATGTACACAAGTCTGTAGTAAAATTGTAACCTTAAATTAATGAATAGTCTGGGTTTATTATGTTTTTCATGAGATGGTCAAAAAGATGAAGCATTGCTGTTGTTTAAATCTAGACAGCATAGTAATTATTTGAATTTTGGTTATATGTGAAAAACAAGTTGAATAAAGTCAGGTTTCATATATGAGTTAATTGTCTTCCTGCTTTTGTGTTTTGGTTTTAAAATTGTCAGTTAAAGCTCAACACTTTGTTCTTTCTGGTTTTATTTTTAGTAGAGCAAGCTGAAAACTGCTGTCTTATCTAACCCTTTATAAATTTTCCCACTGCAAGTTTCAGATTTCTCATATATTAGTGTATTATTTTTAAATTATTTTACTGGCTATCTATCCCAATTATCTCTTCCAACTGGTGATTTATTCCACTAGTTTCATATGGGAAAGCACTTCAGACTTCCATTGCATTTTGTCTTACTGCCTTAAAAGATAATGGTGTCTCAATAATCTGAGACTAAAATCCTCTATTAATTGTGTGTTTTTCTTATCTATGAAAAGCTTTTTTTTTTTAGCATATGTGACAGGATAGATGTAGGACATCAGTAATGATTAATAAAAGTTGCTTTTTTTTTTTTCTTCTTGTGGCAATTTTGACAAAATAATCCAAAAGGTACATCGAACATGGGTGAAACTAAACACATTAAATATACCCACATTAAATATAAATATTAAATATAACAAAAAGATTTTGTTATTTCAGGTCCTGTAAAGAACTAAAGCTTAATCTAGAAAATAGTCAAAGACTTGCTTCTAACATTGCTTATGGTGTGGATGTTCTGGGGACTTTGTATACTAACTGGAACAAGTGTGTTTAGACAAATTATCAGATAATCTGTAATCAGGAGCTCTTCCTTCAAAAGAAGGCATGGCTACACCTTGGTAATACTAGGCTTTTTCTTCTTTTTGTCTCCTAGAAATGGGTCTGCTCTCAGAAGATGTGATGCAGTAGATATGGTGCTTAGTCATGGCATCAGAACTGTATAAAACAATCTCTGAGGCAAAGCTTGAAAGACACAAGAACTTGTTCTTAAATTACCGAAATCTTCGTCACTTCCCTCTGGAGTTACTGAAGGATGAAGGGCTGCAGTACTTGGAGAGACTTTACATGAAAAGAAATTCTCTGACCACATTGGTATGACTGTCTCTTTATGAATTCTGAATTTTGAAACAGGAAAAAAAATATTATAGATAATCTAATCCTGATCGATTAAATCAGCTGTAAGATATGAGTATTTGAACTTGAATAGGTAATGTAGTGAATAATAAATGGAAGTTCATGATGTTTTATGGTTATCCTTTTGAAGCTCTCAAGACCTTCTCAGGCTTTTCTCGTTAGGCTTGTTTGGGTTGTTTTTTAACCTATACATTTTAGTCACATCAGTGGGCAGTTTCTCCTGCTAGGTGATGCTATGCAGTCTATTCTACGTTTCTTCCTTAGGCTGAATGACTTTTCCCTTGGTGTGTGCCTAATTTCAAAGGCAGTATCAATCCCAGGGTCTAATTCTGAACCTGCTGTTAAGGTGCCAGTAAAAGCTTCTGTCTATGGGCTGCTGTTGATAGAACATAATTATATGTCAGCTGATGTCACAGTTAATGTGGGATTTTCTTTTGAGATTTCTTCTTGTTTTGTTGTTTTTCCCTGAACTGAAGAAATTCTCATCCTGAGTGGGTGTTGCGACCTCAAAATTCAGTGTGGGGCAGTTAAATAACTGTGAGAGATATTCTGGGCTGGTAAGACTTTATATGATAGAGTCAGAACTTGCCACAGTCAATAGGCTCAAGTCTCCAAATTTTCATTTTTCGTTGCTTGATTGGTTTGGATTTGTTGGGTTTTTTTGGTGGGCCCTTCCAAGGTATGAGAGGTAAGAGTAGCAACTCTAGAGGAACTGTAGGGCATGACTACTTAAAATTCACCAAAATCATACTGTTTTCAGGGTTTCCTAGAACAAGTCCAGTACTCCACTTTAAGGGCCAAAAGCTGAAAGGATTCTGAAGATTTTTTGCCTTTTCTTCATCTTGAATGAGTCACTTAAGTTGACATGTACTGTAGAGAATTATTTTAGCACTCTGGTTTTGGGCAGTAATTTAATAATGTGTCATAATTTAGCAGGAGGATAGGATTTATGGTTACAAATCAAAACTGCTATAAAATTAACCAAAGACTGTAAACAGCTGTGCCTTGACACTTTGTGAAATTCAGTGGTGATTAAGTGCAGTAAGGTTCACAAACTTTGCACTGCTCAAAAGATGAAACAATAAGAAGGGTTTTGTATGTAAGTGTTAAGACCTGGATAAAGAACTGAAACAAAAGTTAAAATGTAGGTCATACTTAGGCAAAATTGCTTTCAAACAGCATGAAGCAGAGCATGATTAGATTCACAGCAATCAGGATAACTTGCTCATAATGTGCCTTGTTGGGATCTCATTCAAGTGCTCAGCACTATTGTTGGAACAAGGCAAACAAATTTGGGTGTCATTCACTGAGCATCTGTTCCGCAGAAGAGATGTTGGAAGTTGTAGTGGACCAAAATAGATCAAGTCAGCAGCACATTACAAAAAAAGGCAGATGTCTTTTTGGAACATGGAAAGTTTCACAATCTCCATTAAAAGCAGAAGGAAGTAATTATTGGATACTGTTAAAGCACAAGCTGCAG